CTGATTTGCGTGGAGCTTTGCAAATGTTTGTTATGGTCAATCATTAAAATTTAAGCTAAAATTCAGCCATTTTGGATCTCACAAAAAAACTCAAAATGACGTATTTGATATGTTTCAACAAATCATAATTTGAAAACATCACTGCCAATCGAAATGACGTCTGAGACAATTCCTTTTCTCAAAATATACTTTAGAAAATGTCAAGTAATTTTGGTTAAAAAATTAAAAAAGTGTTAAGAACTTAAATGACAAAAAATGACCCTCTTCAATATGTTTTGAATATATTTCATAAATAGCTTGTAAAAATTTCTATTTTCTGTGAAATTTTCAAGTTGTACACCTAAAAATTAACAGAAAATCATAAACAACAACTCTTTGACATATTTTTGTTTTAACAAGTTTTGGTAAAATTTCGCACAGAAAACCATATTTAAACTTATGAAATTGTTTTCTGTGCAAACAAAAAGTTTATAAACTTTACCAAAAGTGGTTGTTGTTTAACTGTTGTTAAGTGTAAAGTGTCCAACTTGAAAAATGCACAGAAGATTTTATAAGCTTTTTTAAGAAACATATTCAAAAAATATTGAAGTTGGTATTTTTTGTTATTTACGTTCTAAACACTTTTTCGGATTGTTTACCGAAAATTACTTGAAAAATTTTACCGTGCATATTTTTCCTGAAAAGAAATTAAGTTTTTCTATTATCTTGCCTCGGACGTCATTTCGATTTGAAGTGACGTTTTCGAGTTCTGATTTTCCGAACTGGGTGTGAATTATTGACCATAACAAGCAATTATGCAAAAAATCATGCAAATCGAAGATGATCGAGTCTGAAATTCATTTTTTTTTTTGCTATTTAGTCTCGAAATATGTTACACCGAATCCTATTTGAATCAAGTCTGGAATCTTTGGTTTTTCCAGTATTTTTTAAATATTACTATGTGTATAAGGAAAATTTGAGTCATAATTTTTTTCCGAAAATTAGTCCGAAATCTCTTAATAATCCAACGAATTGATGTTCTCTTGCCGTGCGGATCTATTTGGTTTTTGCTGAAGGAAGTGTTACTGCTACCTAAAGCTACAACACATTTAAACAGCAGTTCTCAGTGCTCAATATTACCTGCAAATTTGCAACCTTGCTCGACTCTTATTCCTCTTCGACACTTGTTTAGACCCTACCCGAGGTAATCCTGCTTGGACATCGACTTGGAAAATTCCTCTTCGATCCTTCGGATTCTTATAGTAATCTGCTCGGAAGTCTGTTTGGAGAAACGTTTTACTGTCAATATGGCGCCTAAGCGCACAAGAAAAGGGTAATCTCTTGATTCCCATTCTGATGAAATATATTTGAGCAACCAATTTGATATGCTCACGATGATGAGAATGATCCATTATCCAGGAAAAAAATCTAGTAAACTTTCCCGGCCTAATGCCAAGAAGGAAAAGGTCCCCTGATATGCTGAAAACTAACTCCATGTTTGATGCTATTCAAACTGGAGTTAAATTTGCGAACAATATCGTCATGACTTTGAAATTCAGTAATGGATTTTAAATTATTTAATATTTTGAATTGCAATACTCGATCTTTTAAAGATAATGAAGACGAGCTATTTAATTTTTTGAGAGTTCATAACGTGCATAACGCCGCCATTATAACTGTAACGTTCGTTAAACCAGACCAAGGGTGACCATCAAAAACTTGCCCGTCATAGGTCTAAATTCTTCATTATTTGTGTATATTATTTGGAATAATGCTCAAAGCAATTGCAATGGTAATATTCTGTTTGATTATTGTTCTGCAGGTTATTACAATATTCAATATCCAAACAGCCCAACATGCTTTTCTTCAACTATTGATTTGGTCTTAACTGATTAATGTCAACTTTGTAGCCGATGCTGACTTCGGTTCTGATCACCTTCCAGTAACTTTTGAAATATCCCAAGAAATAATTTCTAATCCCAACAGCTCTACATTCAATTACCATAGAGCTTGGGAGCAATATCGAACATTTATGGAATATAACTTCGATCCAAACATTCCTTTGCAAACCAAAGATAAAATTAATTATGCTCTTGAATCTCTGTACTTCTATAGTTGAAGCAAGAGCTGCCTCAGTACCAAAATGCAATGTTAAATTCGATTCAATTATAATAGTCGATGATCTTCAGCTCTTGATCCGTCTAAAAAATGACCGAAGGAGGCAATATCGAAGAACACGCGATTCTGCAATGAAAGTGATCTGGCGGAATTTGCAAAACCAAATTTAAAAGCGATTCTCTGCCCTGAGGAACAAAACTTTTTAAAATAATGTTTTGAAATTAAAACCGAGCTATTAACCCTTTTGGAAGCTCACACAAATTTTGAAAAAATCTGAAAAGCCTATTCCAGCACTTGAAGCAGGTGGTAAAATTTTGATCACAAATTCGGAAAAAGCTCAAAAACTTGCTAAGCAATTCGAGAGTTCTCATAGTTTCAGGTGATGATGGAATTTTCTATATTTTAATCAAAAAACTCTCAGAGAGTAACTATTTAACAAATGTTTCCATTTCGCATACTTTCCTGATAAATTGAAAAATGCAAAAGTTGTTTCAATTTTAAAGCCGGATAAAAATCCAGCTGAAGCTTCTAGCTACCGTCCAATAAGTTTGCTTTCATCAATAAATAAACAGTGTTCACTCGGCTGTCGACAGAAGCAGACCACTCTCAATGTGTGTCACGCGATCGTCTGTTTACTCGGCAGCAATTATTGTGTGGTCCTCCTCATTGTTCTTCATCAGCAGTTCTTTCAGTCGATGCGTCGTCGACTTTGGAAAGCAACCGTTTCGTGATGAGTGTGTAAGTGCTGACCACGTTTTGCGTCCATTGCTGCAATGGAAGCACTCTGATCCCCGTTGGCGAATCTGCCATACAATGAAACCACTGGAAGCGGCTCCCGTTCTGGTGGAAGAGGCTTATTGGAAGATAAAATGTCTATTGTGTTGTATCTTTGGACTATACTTTTAAGATGTATTGTATAGTGAACAAGAATCCTCGGCTCTAAACAAAATCAATAAATAATCGTTTTGAAAAGATAATTTTGAATAGAATGATGCTTCACATCAATACCAACTAATTTTTTGCAGATGAGCAGTTTGGATTTCGAAATGGACATTCAACTTCTCATCAACTCTTAAGAGTTACCAATTTAATTCGTTCAAAGAAATATGAAGACTGTTTAGCTGGAGTTGCTCTTCTAGACATATAAAAGCATTTGACAGTGTTTGACATGAAGGCATGAAATTAGTTCAAAATTATTTTGCTGATAGAACTCTGCAGGTAAATTATCAAAATTCCAAATCTGAACGACTACCTGTTAGTGCAGGAGTTCCTCAGGGTAGCATTCTTAGGCCTATATTGTATAACATTTTCACTTCGGACCAAAATTTTTTTTCCACAAATCTTTGTTCGCTGATGACACAGGCATTTCCGCTAAAAGAAGAAGTCTTCGTGTTATTTGCAGCAAACTGCAGAAGAGTTTAGATATTTTCTCTTCCTATTTACAAAAATGTAAGATTTCTCCCAACACATTCAAAACTCTACTTATAATATTTCCACATAAGCCTAGAGCTTCCTTTTTGAAACTTAGTAGTAGCCACATAGTCACTATGAACGGAGTTCCAATTTCTTGGTCAAGTCAAGTGAAATATATTGGATTAGTACTTGACCAAAAATTAACTTTTAAAGATCACATTTCGGGCATTCAAGCCAAATGTAACAAATACATAACATGTGTGCATTCTCTTATAAATAGAAAATTCAAACTTTGCCTGAAGTATAAACTTCTAATATTTAAACAAGTTTAACAAGTTAATAATGAACAACATCGATCGCTCAATGACTTACGGTAATAGATAATAATATTGCCCCAGCTTTACTTGTGAAAGATTCCAAAATCTCGGAATGGCAACTTTGTTCAAGGAAAAAATGCTCGAAATTCTGTTCTAAGCTTTTTGTTCGTGATCACGTCCATGAAAAAACCTTAACGATCTCAGACTTAATTATCATCAGATCTGGGACTTGGAAAAACAACTACTAAGTATTTACACGTTTTAATCATATTGTTTGTTGGATGTGATCTCACCAGATATCCTAGCATCATTCATCATAGTTATTCAAGCACCATTTACACTTTCCCCGTCCGGACATCAGCTTGTCCGGGGCCAGCTAGGCAGCATCGCCCTCTGGCCCTCTAGTCAGCAGCGGATGTTTCCCTCCTGGCTGTATTGGTAAACACCAGTAGTAGGTAGTAGGCATACATACTCGCAATCGACAACGACTAGTAGTGTAGGTATAGTACTCCACACAGCAGAGCGTTTAGTAGTCAGTTACGTGTTTTCACACCGAGCAGTGAGCGTGAACCATGTGCGGCGGCGGCGGCAGCTCATCTCCGAAGTGACATCCTCCGCACGTACGCTCTTCTCACTTGTGTCTTGGACCTGAATCTCCAAAAACACAGCATAGTAGTACAAGATCACATCACAGTAGTAGTCCGACGGAGACGACTCTCGCATTCACTCGCGCGAGTGCATTTTCTTCTTTTGGACTTTCAAACCTATTAATCTTCCTTCATTTAGTCACTGCGCTAACGAGTAGAGTGCGTATTCTGTGTATAGATACAGCTTCATTCAGCAGAGTTGTTGACTGCAGTGACTAACTTTCAAGCGATCGCGGTGTGTCCGAAAGGGGCACGCATTAGTTCGTCCATTCATTCAGAAAAGAATAACAACCTAGATCAACGGAACGTAAGTCTCTAGCCTTAAGTAGTTGCTCGTTAAGTAATTGATTTCTTGCTCTGTGTACTCGCATATATGTTCCATGTATTTGTTCGCATTTTTTGCTCTCGCTCATCAAACGTCGCCGAAAGGAAATGTTCACTTACTCACAGTCTCTTCTCTCGGTATTTTCTCATTTCATTTCTCGGTTTTCCTCCCACAATTTGGACCGGCTCGGGGACCTATCAGGCGAAGATCCGATCATGTCTGATCAGCAGCAGTACAACTACATGACGAGCGACGAGAATAAACAGTTCGACGACACCAACATCACCAATATGAGCATCGATCCGATGAAGGACGAGAAGTACCTGGAGAAGATTATCTCCAATGCCGAAAAGTACCCATCGATGACACCCCGCGAGAGCACACCCAACCCGCTGGACATCACCGTGACCGACAATGTCAACATCACACGGAAGCCGATCCACGTTGGGTAAGTGGTTTTAAGTTCCTTATTTTTTTTATTGTGCCGTAGCACACCAATCTGCACTCTGCAACATTCATAAAGAAAATCCGACTCACTCATTTTCACCGGACGCTTTTCATCCAGACACCCCCCTCGTCCCTCTCAAATGCCCCAGTGTACAGTCGTCATATTTTCCATCTCTCTGCTCTTTTCTTTTTCTCCATCTATGTTCTCTCACCACACAATGTTCTATACAGCAGGACACTGTTGATCCGGTAACCCCATTTTTTCATTAATCATTAACTAGGGTATACGTCCCTAACCTCGGTCTAATATGCAGCCATAGATTACGTTTTTAATCATAACTCATCAATTAATTTACCTGCAAACGATATTCTACTGCTAAATGGTATGCTTAGATATGCTTATCATGTCGTTTGCTATCAGGAACCGCAAAAAGTTGAAAAACTTACTTTTTTTAAGACAAAAACTCACCAGGGAAATGTATGTAATATCGGTCTATTGTCCCCAAATTGGGTCTATTTATGGATGCAACTTCGTCCTATCCTGTTTGATTCTCAAAAAAAACGCTCTTGGTAACGTTTTCTTATGTATTTTTTTTTATCACTATCACTGTTAACTTAATACTCTTCATTCCTCAAAACATTTCTTAGAGAAAATTTTACGAAAACTACATTAAATCACTCAAGTTAAAAATTAAAAATTAAAAATTTCGCTTATCGTCTTTCGACCGCAGAATATCTAAATCAAAACATTGTGATGTTCATTATACAGATTTGGCAGAAAAAATCTCCCTTCCTGTTCGTTCCTTATCATCCAAATGCAAACCACATTGTTGACGTTACTCTTATTGCTATATGCTGTCAAATGAATTTCATGGGCCAAAGTTAGGAACATAGAAAAGAAATGTGTCCCTAAAGTTGGGTCCATGATTTACTTGTGAAAACGTTGTTAAACAATTAAAATAAACATAAAATATTCAAACAGTAACTGTGAGTTTTACGTCTAGTGTGTATTATCAGGTAATTCCATTCAATAAATGCCATAATCAGGCCATTTGATGATCGTCAGTGCAACCTTCCCATCTTAACCTTAGAAGTCATGGCGGCTAAAAACTCCGAACAGAGTGATATTCTCAACCAGTTTTATTACTTACGAGAGCTGAAAATGTATTGAAATGTTGTGATATAAATTGATTTGTGTGTGGTACACATTTATCAATCATCAGTGATCAATATTTTCCTTATTTTTTGTGTAATATTCCTTAATTAATTATTTATTTGCGTGATAGGCCGAATGAAAGGACTAGACCCACATTACATACCGTAACCCTACATCTCTCTGATACCTATCTTCACCCAAGTCTGCTTGCTGTCGTGTACTCTTTCGGTGTCCTTTGATTTCTTTGCTGCCAAATTTTCCCTAATTTGTATTTTCCCTTCATATGGCGGTGTGGTCATTAATTGTATTACAATTTGTAGCATTTGGGTCTCGGCGAGTATGGTTTTGCACGATTGCCAACTTTGATAAGCAGATGGTGTAATTTATACGTCTGCTAGGATCGATTATCCATCAACGGTTTGATGGGTGGGGTGCAATGTAGATCATTTTGAATTTCTCTTTTTGAGATACGGGATCGTGCATCTCTGCCTGGACAAATCCACGCCAACTGATGAATCGATCAATCATTACCCTCTCCGAATTCCATGAATCTTGGAATGATTGTTCGCTAGGGACAATTCGACCATTTTAACTCGCGCCTAATTTTTCAAAATAGCGTGTTCGGTATTTTTCAAAATCATGGCACGAAAACGGCTCATCTAATCGAACGGGCGTCTGAGACAAATATGTAGTAAACTGGTTTGCCTTTCCAAATAAAAATACACACTGAAAAAAAAATCTATAATTTTGATAAAACAATTTCAACATCAAAAACATGTACATTTTTATTACAGTGCTTTGCCGATTTTGTCAGTCCCTTCTCAAATTTTAGGCTGACAAAAATGGGAAATTGACTAAATCGAGAAAATTTTTCCCATTATTTTATCGATCAAAATTATTACAAAATATGTAAATTGTTATAGGGTAAGGTGGGGTAATACGCGCAATGAGATAATATGACCAACAGTGATTTACGTGTTTTTCAAAACAAATTTAATGGGTTTTCACCCAGAATCACTCGATGGGCTGCTGAACTATTATCTGGGAAACTTTTTATATCAATTAGGGGCTGTTCATTAACTACGTAGATAGTTTTTTTTTGATTATTGCTCCCTCCTCATGCGTATACAATTTTCCACACAATTGTTAAAATTTGTATGGGCCGTGGATAATTGGGACCGGAAACCCATGTCTGATGCCAGTTTTCAATCCAAGATGGCGGTTTCAGGTTAGAGAAGAACTGAAAAATACTTTCAAATTCCCCACAATATGGGTAGTTTTGGAATCGGAATGACGTGTAGGAACCGGAAATTGATGTCTGACACCATTTGGAAATCCAAGATGGTGGCATCCGGTTGCAGAAAAGCTGGGAAGTACTGTAAAATTTCTCTTCAAACATTGCTTTTTGTGGTGAAAAAAGAGTCTATGCTTAGGGGCACAAAAAGATGCTTGACATAGGACAACAATTTGTATGTACAATTGTTTTTGCGCTTCATTCTTTCAGTTGTTCACAAAATCTATAGTGTTATTACTTTAAATATTTAAAATGTTGGTTGATTGTGTGAAATGTGCCAATAGTAGTTTTATTTTGGAGCACACAAAAGGATCGAAGCGTTATATCGAGACCGGAACGAGTCAACAGTTCACAGTTTATCAGAAAATTGTTATACAGTGACATATATCATATCACAAGTTTAAGGGGGTGACCAGTAGACTGATGCAAATTTTGACATTTTCGCTCCACAGTGCTCAAACGGTTCCAAATCGGGTCCTGATTAGTCTCCCAAAATTTGAACTCATTCGATAAGAAACTGACTTGGCACAAACCATTTGAAGTTTATATGGAAATTACTATAGGAAAACCAAATATTTTGTTCATATCCATCTAACAATTTACCATATTGCTCTGCTTTAAAAAATGATAACTGAGCTCGTAGAAAATTTTCTCAGCTACAACTTTGTGCTTAACCACTTTTCAATATAATGTAAGCATCAAAAGTTATCAATAATTCAAGCCACTAATGTCTTACGATTATGCTCAATCAATTGTTCAGCAGGCAACATTGGTGTTTCTGGCGCTTGGAATAGAGCACAAAAATCATGGCTACTATGCCACACTGCAAGATACAGTGTTGCTCACAAAACAGCTGCTTGATCATGCCAGAAGATTATCAATCTCTTAAACAATTAATAACTATTTTATTTGACGTTTGGCTCAACAACTATATTCTGCTAAGTTGCAGCAGAGAAAATTTTCCATAAGTATAGCTTTTGAATTTTTGAACAGTGCAATATGGAAAAAAGTTAAAAAGACAATGAACAAAAAGTTTTGATTTCCCATAGTAATTTCCATATAAACTTCAAATGGTTTGTGCGAAATCAGTTTCTTTGCAAATGAGTTCAAATTTTGGGAGACTAATCAGGACCCGATTTGGAACCGTATGATCACTGTGGAGCGAAAATGTCAAAATTTGCATCAGTCTAGTGACCAGGCGTAGTGTTTAGCAACCATACCTCTCACGCCAAAGTCACAAGTTCAAATCTCACCCTCGAACAAGTCACGAATGACCCAGAAAATTGGGTAAAAGTGCCCCAACTCACTTTCGAGTAGTCATACTTCCCGCTGAAATGAGCATGTTCGACTCAATTTTGTGTTACTGCAAATTATCGTGTAGTACAACTCAGATGTAAACGAACAAACTTTTAGATGAGTTTTTCAAATCTGATACACTGGGCTAATTAAGTAACATATAAACAATTGAGCTTTTTTCGTTGACATTTAGAGGTGGCGCAAGGGGTCTAAATCCAAAATGTCGAACGATGAGCTGTCTATTCTTGAGTTATATGGCGTAGCGATGTTCCTGCATGTGGACTTACGCTTACATATTGATATATCGAACTCAGTATCGTTGTGGTGATAGATGCAGCGTGAGTAAATGTGAGAATGAGAGAAAATAAGAAAGAATGAGATAGAAAGAACGAGAGAGAGCAAATAATGGTAAAACTAATTCAGTAAACTCGTTCTAAAGGGTGATACGGTCAAAATTTGGTCGGTGAAATCGGTTTTTTTTTAAATCAAATTAAATTTCTTTTTCAAGTTCAATTAGTATAAAATTCAGGAAAAATATTCAGTTAGGCTTCCGCTTTTCCAAATCCGAATTGCCGGGCCTTACGCTTGACCCCTGCCATCAGATTTTGTACAGCCACCTTGTCCACCTTCTTCGCCGCAGAAAGCCAGTTTGCCTTGAACTGCTGCTCGCCCTTAGCAGTTTTTTTGGTCTTCTTTAGGTTCCGCTTGACAATAGCCCAGTATTTCTCAATTGGGCGGAGCTCTGGCGTGTTGGGAGGGTTCTTGTCCTTGGGAACCACCTGCACGTTGTTGGCGGCGTACCACTCCATGGCCTTTTTACCGTAATGGCAAGATGCCAAATCCGGCCAAAACAGTACGGAACAACCGTGTTTCTTCAGGAAAGGCAGCAGACGTTTATTCAAACACTCTTTCACGTAAATTTCTTGGTTGACAGTCCCGGAAGCTATGAAAATGCTGCTTTTCAAGCCACAGGTACAGATGGCTTGCCAAACCAGATATTTCTTTGCGAACTTTGACAGTTTCATGTGCTTGAAAACAACTGCTACCTTTCCCCTTCCTTTTGCCGTATAAAACTCCTGTCCCGGAAGCTGCTTGTAGTCGGCTTTGACGTAGGTTTCGTCGTCCATTACCACGCAGTCAAACTTCGTCAGCATCGTCGTGTACAGCCTCCGGGATCGCGCTTTGGCCGTCGTATTTTGTTTATCATCGCGATTTGGAGTCACTACCTTCTTGTAAGTCGATAGTCCGGCTCGTTTTTTGGCTCGATGCACGGTTGTAGACGATACACCCAGCTTATTTGCGGCATCTCGGAGAGAGAGGTTAGGGTTTCGCTTGAAACTACCGGCAACTCTCTTTGTCGTCTCAGCGGCTTCCGGTTTTCGATTTCCCCCCCGATCCAGACTTCCTGGCTGTCGACAAACGTTCCCCAAACACTTTAATTACATTTGTAACGGTTGATTTGGCAACTTTTAGCGATTTTGCCAACTTTGCGTGCGAGTAGCT